ACACACTGAAATAGATACTTCTAACTAGTAACTTTCTTGATAGCCTAGCAGATGCCAAGATAAGGAAAGATTTACACCAGAGACAATGAAAATGCAGGATCATTTGAGAATAATAAAAAAAAGTAAATGGTGGGAAATGTTAACAGCAACAGCTGTGAAAAGAGATTAGAGAAGATTAAAAGTATAGAAGAGAACAATAATAGTAAAAAACTCTTTAAAATTTAAATTGCTTCACAAGAGAGATACTATAATTATGGCTTCTATAGGTATTTGAATAGTAACTGCAAAAACAGTGAGGTATAGATACTTAATTTTTTTTCCAACATCCTAAGAACTTATTCATACTATAAAATCACAACCAAGAAAATTATAGCAGATCACACAACTACATGAACAATGCTGACTTTAAGACCTACAATGACTTTTTTAGATTGTGAACAGAGTAAGTCACAGGCATACTGAGTGGTAAAGGCAGATGCAAAGATATTGGAAGCCTCCCTACAAAGGGAGGTTTTACAGCAAAACTCAGTTTTGCCCAAGAAAGCCTTAGACAGCAAGAAGAACCTATATCTGTTTCTGTGTTTTGTTATTTCCTACCTGTCGGATGGGTATTTACTGCCATAGACACATGTACCCAATGTTGAAGAGACCTGAAATGTTGGCAGACAAAGGAAAGGGTAGATAGCTGAATGTGTGCACACAGTAAATAGTTCAATTCTATGGCATATATATTTCCTTTATTCATAGTAAATCCTGCTCTGCAACCAGACGCAGCAAACTGAACAAGTAATAGTTGCAACTTGGCAGAAAAGTGGTCACATCAATACCAAACTGCAGAAACACATAGCAGAAAACACAGTATTAGTACAGTGATGAAACACACATGAGACTAATCTGGATAGAAAGGCAAAAAGCAAAGTATGCCCCTCCATTTAGCAACATCCCAATGGGGTAAATTCCACACGACAGCAGAAATTTCAATGGCCTTCTAGAAGTGTACAATAGGAGAACAGGCATTATATTCTCTTCGGATTGCAAGTTACTGTTCATGATGTCTCAGCCTTTTCTGATGCAACCAACCCTATGAAACAGCTCCCAGTTCAATGCCAATTAAACTCTGGAAAAGTTCCTTTTTCAAAAGCACAGTATTCCAACTCAAGGCTCATCTACTCAGACACCAGAAGAAGACTTACAGTCATTCATGCAGGAAGTTAGCTAATAAACTACAGGCAAAATCTGGAATTATTTTATTATTATTAATAATGTATTATGGTGATTATGGTTTGGCTGAGAACAACCAGGCCAGCCTGAGCTAGTCTGAGATAACTGCCAAATCTTCTGCACATGTGGCAGATGGTGAAAGCATTTGGGAGACTCCTATATATAAGAACTCTGTATTACAGGGGCTCAGATTCAATTCAACAGTGAAGTAGCTGAAGTGGGTCATGATAGAAGCACACTAAGCAGCATAAAAAATAAAAGCTTTGGGTTTCAGCCAAAAGAAAGGTAAAAGAGAAAGAATACTGCCTTCAGGGGACGTGAGGGGAAAGTGGTTGTACAACCTATGTTGACTCATGAAGGTGAAGAAAGCTGTGGCTTATGACACACTGCACTGAATTCTGCATGCATAGGAAGTGGAAGGACAATGTTTGAACTCGGTGGAGCTATATCCCCTTTTAATAAGGCTTCCTTTAAACTTCCTTAACAGTTTTCATGAACATCACAGGGTGGTTTGGAAACACTGCAACAAACCTTATTCTTCCAAAGAACATAATTCATTCTCTGTGCTTATATCTAACCTCTTTTGGCTCATCTTACTTTGAAAAAGGCTTTGAAATTCAAGCATGTTCTTCAAATACTCCCTCTACAAGTCCCAGGAGGCAAATGCTAGAGTGTCGAGGAAGTAGACAGGACAATAAATGAAATGTAATATAATACCACTGAGAACTCTCTTAGCCATATCCCATGTTAAACCTGATAAAGAAAATCCATCTTCTCTGATTAATTTCTTGTGGCAACTGAAACAAGGTAAATTGGAAGGAATAGGCATTTATTAAAAAAAAAAAACAAAACCAAACAAATAAAAACCCCACAAACAAACAAAAAAACAACACTTAATGAAACAACTGTTGACATCTGATGCTGCCAGTGTCCTTTCAGCCTTTATAATTCCTTCACCAGAACAAGCAAGTTTGCTGTACTACTTTCTGCATTGATGTGTTTATGCAAGCAACACTTAAGCCTTGGCTTAAGTTGACTTTGTGACTAGCTTTTATGAAGTTTGTTCAAAGAGCAATTCAATGTTATTATAGAGATGAGCTCTCCCAGGCTAGGTTTCCAATATGGAGATCCTTCAATCCTTTGCTTTTTGGAAAGATGTGGAGATACAGGTGCTCTCTGAAAAAATTCAGAGTCATTACACTGGGGACCTGCCTGTCTTTTTACAGGATCCAGGAAAAGATCTGAAAGTATAAATTTACCAGAAACAATATTACCCTTGGAGATACCAGTCCACATTTCTAAAGAATATTGTACTGCCAGCTCACAAAGAGAAAAAGTTGTAAAGTATAAGCAGAAGCTTTAACTTAAGTTGTCAGAAAAACCCAGGTTGAGTTTTCATGAACATGGGATTGCTGTCAGGAAGTGTTCTGCCTCTAGTAATGGGCAAAATACCAAAACTTCTCTCCTGTTTGGTAATGTAAATACTATATTTGCAGCATATAGTTTATTTTCTGCCTGAAAAAAGATGCCAGCAGAGTCCTTTATAACAGAAAGGCAAGGGCAGATCATGCCAATTATAAAAAATGTTTATAGTAATGATACCACAGAGAAAATGTACATGTCCTTCACATATCTACAAGGATGACAGTGAGGAGAATAATCTTCTTTCACAGAAGTTCATTATCCCANTTTTCTACCTACCACCATTTTTTTTTTTCAACCAGTTTTGGTAAGCATGTGTTTTATTACCATCAGAACTCATAAAATTATTTACATTTTACATTCCCAATGGCACGGTTTACTTTCTCAAGGAATCACAAACCCTTATATGTGGAGCCCCCCCCCCCCCCCCCCCCATATCCACAAAGAATGATAAAGTTTGGAAAAGTAAAGTATTGAAATGTTAGGAAATGCCAGAATTTGTCTGAATAGCCATAATTATGGTTTGTCTGAATAGCCAAATACCGCATGCCTGTGCATTATGAAAAACCTTTTAATTAAATATTAAAATAGTATATACCATGAAACATCATTTAGAGGGTTTAGAGGAACATAGGAATCCAGATTTCTTTCTTTGTGTAAGGGAAAGCAGTCATTATTTGAAGTTCTACTTCACATTTGTAGATGACAGACTGCAAAATATGTATGAACCTGCACACTGTAGAGAACAAATACCTACATTAAGACAAATAAGCATCCAGTATTTGAGTGGCATCTAGAACTTGAGGAATATTTAAAAAAAGTTTAAAATCCCTTATTTTGGACCTCTTTTCTTTTCCCCCAGGGGAAATCTGCAAGGTTTAAAACCTGGGTGTGAATATTGCATGGTGGGAAGAGCTATAATAGCTTCACTCCCAAGGGAAAACAGAGAGACATACAAAAATGTGGGCAGTAGTGACATTCTCTAATTACATGACTGCCAGCCTCTAAATTTTCCACCCTCTCTCTCACTTTGAGCATAAGGTTCCTGTTCTCACATACAGAGCCCCACAAAAGTCCCTCCTGCCCACATCTCATTTCTCATTTTCTCCTTCTGTTACTGCCTTAGTTCTATCCAAATTATTTTCTTAAACACCTACTGTACACTTTCACTGGTCTTTGCATCATGTCTTTGCTTGCATTCCAAAGAACCTATCCATGTTCATTTGAATTTCTATCTAAAACAGGATTTTTCTGCAAGGTCAACAAATGCTCTGATGTCAGCTAAAGCAAGCTTCTTTATAAAGTAACTGGTTTCCTAGATGACAATTATGTCCTTTATCCTGACACATTGCTTGCACTGCTTGACCAACGCAGAGTATTCCTGACTTACCTCACAAGCACATTTTCATCAGAAAATGTGAAAAGTAAAAATTATATCATACCTAGGTAAATATCCTAGAACTTCTTCAATTAATTTGCCAGGTGTATAAAACCAGAATGACTCCGTGAACTTTTTTCCCCTTTGCCTCCTTTGTGATTCAATACTTTTTTTTCTTTTTTCCTAAAAGAAAGGATTTTAAAACAAGGGCACTCAAATCGACCCCATAATATTTTAGACTGCCAAATGTCACAGCTGTTCCTTATCTCTATGATGGTCTGACCAAAACCTCAGAGCTGACAGCTCCAAGTTCTGCAAAAGTGGGGCTATGAATTTTTATTTCTCAGATATGGATACAAACCACCAATATGAATCTACTTTAAGCTTAAGGAAAAGAAAGAGACATACTAGTGGGAGCATGTTTTTATGTTGACACCCATATATAAGGGCAGGATGGACTTGCTTGTTTTTTCACACCGTACAAACAATGGGATAGAACCTCAATTCTCACTTCTCACTACTTGCCAGTACTGCCTTCTTCTGATACTTACAAAGGGCAAAACAGGTAGACAAGACCATTGTTCTACTTCTAGCCAAATCCAAATGTATGTTTTGAACCATGTCACCAGGCACACACAAGCTGCCTGCTGCCTAGAGACCACGTGAATATTCCTTTTGCTGATCAACTGATAAGGCAACCTGTAAAAATCACGTCCCATTTCAGAAGTTTAAGATTGCAAATAAGGTCTGGGCTTCTTAATATACGTCAACAACAAAAAGTTCTTCCTGAGTCTCATTTCCATGTGAGGAATTTGCTTTTTTTCCCCCACTCATTGTGGTATTTGCTATTTTGGGTGCTCAGAAAACTTGCAGCCTCAGAAGCTTGTTTCCTATTCCTTGTATGATATTTCAGCAAGTACAAAGGATGCAAAATATTTATAGAGCTCAAACAGGTTTTTACTTAGCAAAGCTCTGTTACCTGTCAGCATCCACAGTCACGTCATGAACACCTCTCTGGATGACGTCTCGAGAGGCAGCAAGGTCTGGTATTCGGTTCAGACTTCTTGTATATAGGTTGAGTCCTCCATCTGTCATGTACCTGAAAATAAATTTGTGGTCAATCAGTGGGAAATGCAGCCATCTGGCAACGTTTTTCACTTTAAAGTTAATGGCCTGTGAAATTCAAATGTTTAAGGTAAAGGTTTCTTATTATATGGTAGACTTATACTAAATATTCCCACTTTATGTGTCTGGCACAGGGAGATTGTTTTCTGGGAGCATTTGTGATGGCTTACAGGCCAACCTCTTTTACTAAAATACTTTTGGTTGAAGTCCTCAAGTATGTCCAGAAGCACATTTTAAATACTGTGGTTTTGCCAAAAAATAGCACCAGGTGCAAGAAACACCAATCTAGCTAAAACCCCAAGGAATTAGGAACCCAAATTCATAGGCCCTGCTGTTGGGATCCAATTATTCAGGTATGAAAGAGATATCCACTAAAGACCTTAGAATGATATTTAAGAGTATTTTTTATGCATGTCCTTTTACTTGATTCTCACCACTTCACATTATTATGCATGTCTAATGAATGAAAAAGTGAATATAGTGCTGTTTACTCACTAGAGATCCATTAAAAGTTTATGAATTAAAAGTACCAGCAATAATTTCTGGAATGTCTACTACAGTTTGGCTGTCTCTCTGAGATGTCTTGACACTTACAAGGGAGCAGCATCACCAACATGTCTTACCTACAGGACTTCTCCATTATATTCTCAAAGGACCTTTTGTTAAACTGACCTCCCTCTTAGGCTCTTGTTCTTTCTGTTTTCCCTCTTGTATTTTCTGATAACTTTAATTTACCAACAAGATTAGCATAAATTTATTTTTGAAGGACCATGCACATGTATGGCACTGAACATAGAAGCACACATATTCAGAAAAAAAATTCTGTACCTCACCGAACCTATTCAAAATAAAATACAGACTTACTGAAATAGGTGTAGTCCCAACATTAGGCTGATAGCTAAAATGATCTCCCAGAGTTTATTCATGATTCAATCTTTAACACAAGCTCTCCTTGAGCCATGAAATGGTACCACATAAACACACCTTTGAGTTTAAGCATGCATACAAAACACACAAACATTTAACTTTAGGAATTAAACAGAATTCCAATCACCAACCAAGGCATGCACACACACTACTTCTACTCCAGCTGTTCTGTTGGCCCTCTCCCTGTGGTTCCTTCTGAGAGCAGATTTAATTGAAATCATCTGTGACAGAGACCCGAGGGCCAATTCAGTAGTCTGGGAGCACCTGCCTCTGCCTCTGCTTCCACCAATGTGGTTCGGGGCGGCTGAACAGATGCAGGCCTTGAGAGCAAAGCTGCAGTAGGGCCCTGCGTGGTTGCTCCAGTCTGAGAAGGCATGGTGTCCTGGGTGGCAGTATGGATGAAGGCAACCTCAAGTGCATTAAAACACAAAGGGTTCCTTTGATTATTTTCAACAAAACTCTGAGGTGTTTTAATGCATGGGGAAGATTTCTCTGGCAGTCTGCCAAAGTATTTCTGAAGCATTGGTATCTGGAGTTTGGAGAAGGTAACTTCACATTTGTTTTCAAAGGCAAATTAACAGCCACATTTACATATTATAGTAATCTTTTTATTAAAGACAAAATTCAGACTTTTTTGACAGATTATTTAGCTAGCCTTGAATTATCCATAGATTCCACAGCTCTAGAATTGCATATTGAACTTAGCTGTGGCTTGAATGCAATCCAAACTATATGTATTTTTTTTTCCTCTATAAGTAAGGAGAGACTTGACAAGTGCAACAGGCCATCCTCACACTAATTTCTAATTATTGCTGCATTCTTTTCCCCAAGTGTTTAAAGTAATTAAACTGATAATGGAAGAGGCATAAAGGAGATAAGACTTTACATGCCTCAGTGAATCCTGAAATTTCTGAGCTTATCAAATTGTTTTTAACATTTACTGCACCTAAAAATGTTAACTGAGCACAGAGCAACTTACTATCTATTGAGTTATCCTTATTACAGATGCAAAGCAAAGTCACATAAGATGACTATATTCACCCTTTAATGTGATAAGCTAATTAATATAACCCATGAGGCACTGCAAAGGATTCCCTTTTTTAAAATTTTGAATAATACCATGCATCTGTCAAAGGCAACATTAAAATTTCCTTTATAAGAGGTCCACAGACATTAAAGTGTCGTATATTCCATATGTATTTTCTCTTTTTTAGCATGTATAAATATGATATCCTGCTTGACAGTCATTAATGACGTGGACAATGTTGTCAGCAGCGCTCCATACACAGATCACTGAAAAAGTAGACCAGGGAGATACAGGAATATGCTTTATTTAAAATGATGCTTTTTCTAGAGATCTATCTTTGGATGGTGCTTGGGATGAGACACTACTTTAGAGAGAGGTTTGATCACAGACTTAGATTTGCCTTTAGGAATGTATCATACTCAGTTTCATCCCCCACTATTCTCTAATCATAGCTATACTTCAAACTAAGAGATTAGATTGACAGCAAGAATTCTGAAATTACAGAGTAAAGCAGTGTGGTGTAACATGACCAGGTACTCTATGGAACTTCTATTTAACATAGTGTTACACCAGTCAGCAAGCAGCCTTGAGATGCCAAAACTGAACAGTAATTTAAGTAAAATTGTAACATGGCTGTTATTTTTTAATGATGCTCTAGGAGTCCTAACATACACAGGACTGAAGTGACTTGTGTTATTAGATTTATATAAGAATTGCTGAATTTAAAATACAGGGAATGCAGTACCTCAAATTGTAGTACCCTAATTGATTGAGCAAACAAAAATAATTGTGATTCTTCCTCCTGGATATACTAAGAGAGTAACTGCTCTTCTATGAAAAGATATTGCTGCTGTTCAAATTATATTCACAGTTGAAAACCTACTATAAAAGCCCATTACAACAACTATGCTAGACAATATCTAAAGTGAAGACAGAAAGTCAGTGCTGTCAACAACTGCTTTTCATCAGCCGCATCCAATGCTGTACCTCACCAGTGCCAAATACTGGTGCATTCTTTTCCTCAAGGAAAGCAATGCAAAATGCTGGTTCATAGGACAACCAGAATTTTCCAGTAAGTAATAGTGGAACTCAAAGTTCACAGCAAAGTCATTTGATGTTAAAGGAGAAGAAAAGAATTTGAAGGCAGCTGAGAGTATCACTGGCAGATAAAAGGTTTATTTTTTTTATATGTATATTTAGATACTGCAGCTATAATGCAACTTCTGCTTGTGTGCCAAAATGTTTAGAAAAATCCTTCTACCAATCATGCATTAGTTCAAATGGGAAAAAGTGCTACTTACCCACTGTTGATATCATCAGTCCTCAGGCTTTTCCCAAGAATGTCTCCATCACTCATGTAGCCACCAACGTCTGCTTCAGAGGATATGTCCAAATCACCAGTCCCCTTCTCACTCATGTCAATCTGTGAGATATTTCCAAGGCGAGAAACAGCAGCTCGGCGAAGTGGGGTGGTGTACATGAACCGAGAAGGGTCTGTGTGGATGAAGCGACTTGCACTGCTGCGAGGATAACCAGCTCCCAGGGATGGAGCATCTCCTGCCTGCAGCCGAGGACTGGCCTGCCCCAGCCTCCAAGTCACAGGGGTCGATCGGCTGGATAAGCTCGGTATGCTTCTCCCATTCACCTCAGTTGTCACAGTGCTGTCAAAAGTTGTCTCCAGTGTGCTGCCAAACAAAATGGAGAAGTCAGTGAACTGTGCTTTCTGTGTTCCTGAGAAATCAAGAAAAGTGAAGGCTGGAGGAAAGTGTATTTGTTTTAAAAATTCTCTGTGTGTATGTGCTTTCACCATATGCACACATATGCTTGTACATGCCCTCAGTACTGAGGCCAGTCCCATTTAGTATCTTTATAACTGACCTGGATGAGGGGATTGAGTGCCCCCTCAGTCACTTTGCTGATGACAGGAAGTTTGGCAGGAGTGTTGATCTGCTGGAGGGCAGGAAGGCTCTGCAATGGGATCTGGACAGGCTGAATCAGTAGGCTGAGGCCAAATGTATGAAGTTCAACAAGGCCAAGAAACTGGGTCCTACACTTGGGTCCCAACAACCCCATGCAGTGCTACAGGCTGGGGACAGAGTGGCTGGAAAGCAGCCCAGCAAAAAAAGATCTGGGGGTCCTGGTGACAGTGGCTGAACATGAGCCAGTGTGTGCCCAGGTGGCCAAGCAGGCCAATGGCATCCTGGCCTGGATCAGAAATAGCGTGGCTAGCAGGAGCAGCGAAATTTTTATCCCCCTCTACTTGACACTGGTGGGGCCACACATCAAATCCTGTGTCCAGTTCTGTGTGGAGTTGCAGTTCTGGGCTCTACAAGAAAGACATTGAGGTGCTGGACTGTGTCCAGAGAAGGGCAATGGAGCTGGTGAAGAGTCTGGAGCACAAGTCTGATGAGGAGTGGCTGAGGGACTGGCCTGGACAAAAGGAGGCTCAGGGAAGACCTTATCACTCTCTACAAATGCTTGAAAGGAGGTTGCAGTCAGATAGGGACTGGCCTCTTCTCCTAGATAATGAGTGATATGACAAGAGTAAATGGCCTCAAGTTTTAACAGGGGAAGTTTACAGTAGATATGAGGAAGAGTTTCTTGATGGATGGCGTTGACCAACAATGGAACAGGCTGTCCAGAGAAGAGATGGAGTCGCCATTACTGGAAGTATCTACAAGACTTGTAGATGTGACGCTTTGGGTCAGGCTTTATTGGTGGACTTGGCAGTGCTAAGTTAATGGTTGGACTTGGTGATCTTATAGGTCTTTTCCAAATGAAACAGTTTTATGGTTCCATGATTCTATAACCTCTACTTGTGGGAACAGTGCCAAACACCTGGTATCTTAACCAAGGTTAAAACAAGAGAATATTGACCCTAGAGGTTTTATTCATCTGTGTATGTGAGGTGCTGTAGGAAAACTGTTTTGGTGAAAAATCCACCATACAAGTGTGTGACTTATTGTGATTGAAAATAATACATGTAATACTTGATACATGTTTTGTGTGCTACAAAATTAGCAGAGACCCCTGGGACCAATCAGAAGGTGGTGGTTTATCTGTAACAAAATTAAAAGAGAGCTCATGTAGGAAAACAAGGGAAGGAGAGGAAAAAAAGACCTGGAGAGCTCAAAACTGTAACATTACACCAGTGTGTCTTTTTCTCATTGCTGACATATTTATTTTTTTACATTTAGATTTTTCCTTGCATTTGATCTCATCTTCAACATCTACTTATAAAATTACTTAAAACAAATTTTATCAGCTTCTAAATAAATGTGTAAGAAACAAAAACTGTCTTCATGAATGACTGTATCAGACACTTTGACAGTATAGTATATTAAAGTCACATGTAAGTTGCTAAGGCAGTTTAGTGTCATAGATAATTTTCCCTTGCAAGTTTCTCATTCATTCAGCAATTAGTAATACTCTCCCATGGTCCATATTTTTAGTAGTCTACACAAATCCAGTATACCTGTGGCTTATCTGGGTCCCTCTAAGGCTGGACATGGTTTCTTCCAAATTCTGTCTCAGGTCTGCAATATTCTTGACAGTTCTCATTCTTCTTGTTTCAGGGTCTTCCCCTGGAAGAAAACAGTAAAAACAGCATATACTTCAGCATGTGAGTTTATAAGGTTGAATAAAGTGCACATATGTATCCAGCTGAAAATGCACAAATATCTTTCAATCTTTTAAAAAATAAAACTTCATCCTTTCATTAATAAAACACATATATGCTTCTAAATAACATGTGGTATGTATAAAAACCCACCAAAATATCCCCGTTAAGGCCCAAATCTATTAATGAAACTCTGATTTACAGTATTGGGATTTTTGTCCTCTGTAATCAAGGCATGATGCAGCCCCAGACCACTTGATATATTATAAAGTCCCTTTTTAGTCCTTGACATTTTACATAACTCAGTAGGAAAAAAGCCACAGTAAATCTGTGATCTGTCATTGCAGAAAAAAACTAGGATGACTCTTAGAACAACTCTTCAGCATTCACTTAACCTTAACACAGGCTATTTCAAAGTACTTCTTAAGTAAAACACTTAATAAAGCATCTTTCCTGGACTGTAATGCTTTCCTGAAGAGGGACATTATTCTTTGTATGGGATAAAAGAAAATATGCTTCTTGGGATATAAATCTGAACACTCTAAGCACACTCATCATTTATACAATTAGAGGTTTCAACAGCCTTCAGGATCCATTGTGAAAAGCTAGTCTCATATCTCAGCTAATGAGGTTTTCAGAACTTCACCTGGAACATCCAGAACAATGTTTACTTCATATAATTAAAAATAAATTTAAAGAAGGAGAGAAGTTATATATGGTATGTTACAAAAGAGAAACATCATAAACCTCAAAGAAGCCTCCAGTGGTCATGCACAAAGAAACAGAAATGCAGGTTTTCTAGGAAATTCATAGTTCAAGGAAGTTTAATTCATTTTACTTTTGAACAACAAGAGAATTTCAAAAGAAATTTTATGACAAAAATCTATGATTTATTCAAGGCTAGTGTTCTACTTCTGATCATGTCCTATATCTGTTGCTTGTAAGAAGGCTGGCAAGAAACATAAGTATTAGAGTTAAATATAAAATGCTGAACTTGATGTGCAAATAATTTCTTTCTTTTATCAATCACATCATACGTCACAGACAGACTTCACTGACCTGCAGTCAAGCCCTATTGCCCAAACACTCTGTACGCTGCTAAGAAAAATCTCAGCTTCTAACATCAAAAGGATATAAATTATTTCATAAAAATTCTATATAAACTTTAATTTCTCCTCAACAGGCAAACGATGCACTGAACTAGCCAACATAACCTGCAGTTGTGGCTTAATGTCAAACCAGCTTTCACAGCAATGCCATTCTGAGGTTTTACCATCTACCCTGCCCTGGTTGTGTCTTCTGTCCTCTTCGATGCAGCCAAACAGTCCTTTGGGAAAATGTTTGCCTATTTCATCACTCACAAAAAATTCTTCGGTGCTTTAATGATGCTAATGTCTATGAATGTCTGCTTTGGCACCATGGAACTGACAGTGGGATCAACTCCTGGGTAGGATGGAAAAAAAGTGGGGATACAGGCCCTGCACTTCTCCAAACTCTCTCTTCTCAAGCCACACCCCAAGGCCACGTCAGTTCACAACATTTAGTTTCATAAAATAAACTACTTGTGTACATTCTTACACATAGTGTCTTACTAGAGGCAAATGTCTGCAGACAGTGAAATTAGTTACAACTGTTCCTGTGTTTCTAAAAAGTAACAACTGTGCTAGATGTGTTCACTAAAGCACTGGCAATCAATGGATCCCACCAGCTCTTAGCAAAAGTTTCTGTAACACTCTGGAGATTCCCGTGAGGCAAAAAGGCTCATGGCCAGGCTAAGCTGAAGACATTTACATCCTGTAAATCCTTTTTAAAGCCCTGACAATTCCCAGGCATACTGTCCATGCCTGTCTCCAGCCAGTTGTATGTGGTGCACTCATTTCCTCAATCACTGCCCTTTGCTTTCCCTGCTCTGCCAAATGCATTGAAATTGACTTCCAGGAGCTCATTATATTCCTGCCATAATACCTATATAGCGAAGATACAGGAAACGTTACCTACCCTGCCTTGAACCAGAGGGGAAAGAGTAGCTTGTTGGTATAAGAAAATGTTCTATTTACACAGAAAGACAAATTCTAGCATCTATGCAGGGAAAATTAAAGACAAAGCAATACTTTACTTTTATATTTATTTGAGGAACTGAATACAATTAATATTTTACAGTGACGTTGCCCTTTTCCTTCCTTGTTTATCCTTGTCAGTTGTCCTTTGCTGTATGTTAACATTGCAAATTCTTGCAGCAAAAATGACAGCAGCTGTCTTTTTTAATATGTATTGTACAGTAAATGGCATAACAAAGCCTTGAGGTATAATTGCAATACATTAAATAAAAAGGTACATATATGGCAAGCTGCCAAAATATATTTTTACAATGAAGAATACTTTGCTTTCAGACAAATTATACCATAAAATTGCTGTTATTGTATCCTGCAGAGGTGAAAAGCTTGAGATCTAATATCTTTTGATCTCTCAGTGACACAGCAGATAATTTCCACCAATTTTAATTTTAAAAAAGTTAAAACTGAAATTTAATTATATTAAAATACTATATAGTATTTTTAAAGATATCATACTAACTGCTAGAGTGATTTGAAAAGAGTAATTATTTTTTCTTTCCATCATTCTCTAAATGTCACTGGAATCCTGCTGTACCATGGATGAACAAGTCAGAAAATATAAACAGTTGACAGTGAAGAAATTTTCTGTACTGAATACAAGATCTTATATTTTCACGACAGCATTAACTCCCCATCCACATCAAGCCTCCTTCTCTAAAGAGGACCATAGGAATGATGAATATGTTAATTTTTCTGAAAACCAGCTACACCGTGCCTGCTAGTGGAGACACTGTGGTGCTTATGGAATCAGGATCGGGTTCAAAGGAACCCCAGACTCCTCTGGGTACCTTGTTTCTTATAATATGGCACACTGTTATCATAGAGTCTAGCCATATTTGGAGGACCTAACATATCAGAAAAGCTCCTGGTCTTGTTATCTCAAGCGATTCTGGTTTGTACACTAAGAAAAAACATTCTGTTTCACACATGGGGAGTCTGGGATAGGACTATAACTAGGGTAACCTGAAACTTTCTGTCAAAATTCTGTTCCTCTAACAAGAAAGGCCATTTTCTCCAATCATTTGTAGCTTCATCATTTATATTAAATGGATTTTCTAAAATATTGTCCCCAAATTTTTTGCCTATAAACAGCGAATTGGTAAATTTCCAGAAAATACATTGATTTCTGTGTGAGATCCATTTACAGGCAATCAAAACAGACATTTTACAGAAACCACTAGATACACAGGTCAAGACTTTTACGTTCACATTTCTGAAGTTCCCTAATAATTTCACATTCCATAATACTGTTCACAATAATTTCTCTTCTTCTGCACATGCAATCACAGCCCAAAGAAAATGGGAAAGTAACAATTCCACCAATTGTATGATTTGCATGAAAGGATTTACAAATAATAAATGTTTCTCCAGAGAAATGTCCACTATGAGATATTAACTCAGAAAGGAAAGTACCAGTTTTACCCTGCAAGCAGGGAAACTGAGGCTTAGAAGAGAGCAGGGATTTGTCAGTGACAAATAGCTGAAGAGGAGCAGAGGCAGGTTAAAGCTCACTCTCCCGTGCTAGCAAGCTTTTGATCTCTATCAGAAGCCCTTTTAACCTACTGGTACAGTCTAATAATAAAAGGCATGCATACAAAGATAATTCTTATTTCTTTCTTGTTTTGAAATAACAGCTTTTTACAGTACATATGCAGTAAAATTTTGTCCTTAATGTTTAAACACAATCAGGGCTAACATTTCTACCAGCAAGAAGCTCCAGGCTAGACACATGGCATATAACCTTCAAAAAGCAAGCAGATACTTCAACCATTTAACTGACTGAAGAACAAAGCTTTGGAAATGAACACTTTGAGCACACTTAAAGGGCTGAGAGATGAAAAGTAACACAGAAGCCTTTGAAACACCTATGTCTGTGGACTTCAAATACTCACTGGCATGCACAGATATAACAAAAGTGGCTATTTAAGGTGAACTGAAACCCTGGCACTCACAATTCCACATGTAGGGGTGCAGTTATCTGCAGGGGGGCTAGAGAAAGGGGAAGAAATACTGGAGGGTCAGTTTGTAGGAAGGCTGAGACATGTTTTGTCCCATGCAAAATGTGGATTCAAGATACCAGTTTCAAATTAATGAGAAAAAAATGTCATTAAAACAGATTTATTTAACAATAAACTAATAGCACTTAAATATTTCACCTTATTTTTCAAAAAGCTAAGTCAACTATGTTCAGTTATTCACAGACTGCTGCTGCCCCTGCACCCATCACAAGCAATTTAGACATTTGTCTTCATTTCACACAGCCTTAAGAGATCATAGTAAGCAAAGAAGAAGTGGCTAGACCCTATTTTTGCATACTACTGCAAATAAACCCAGTTCTGTCTTGGGAAATCATTGTCAAGATCAAAAATTTGCTCTGTACAGATATGTGCTAACACTTGGGTCTCCTCCTGCCCTTCCTGATGTCAAGCCAAAGTTAACTTACCTAAAATATCAGTATAAAGGACCTGTTCCAAGTCACCCAGCATTGTTATTATGACATCTTCATCCAGATGTGCAGTCCCTTCACGCAAGCACCCTTCCTCCTCCTCCTCTGCCCAGGTCCTGCTGGGGAAATGGGATGTGCAGGATGCATTTTCATCATCGGATTTTTTGCTCTCCTCACTGTCAGTCTGAAAGCCTTCACCTGTACACCTGTCTCCTGACCTCCTGGATGTCCTGCTTCCAGCAGGTGGTATCCCCTGAAATGCTTGGGTTGTGGTGAAGCTGGAGTGGCAGAGAGAGTGCACCGACTGCGAGAATGCCTTGGACAGGGAGCCTCCGCACCCAGCTTCTGCATGTTGGTAACTCTGGCAGGACTTGGAGGCGCTTCCAAACCAGTTCTCCCTGTATG